AAAAAACTACAACACTTAACTGAAGAACATGAAAGAGTATCTGAATAAATACAGAGATAGACCATGCCCATGGACGAGACAATTCAGCAGCAGAAGTGGATCATAATCCCCACGTTAAATGTATCAGTTCTTTGCAGTTTCAGTGAGAATGACAGAGGGGTGTTTAACGGAATCTGATAAACTGAAGATTTATACTGAAAAGCAAAGGTTCAAGAAAAGTCAAAACAACTTTGAAGAAAAGCAAAGGCTGGTGCCATTTGATCTACTTGAAACTGACTTATTATAAAACTATAATACCCAAGGCACATGGGCCAGATGAAAAAGACAATGGAACAGAACAGAGTCCAGAAATGCACCCACACCTTTACGGGAACTTGGTGCAGAAGAGAACTGGCATTACAATCAGTGGGAGAAAGATGGACTAGTGAAGAAATGATTTGGAAACTAGGTTCTTCTTAAGGAAAAGTATTTAATTAGATCCATACCTGACCCCAAACAGAACATTATGCTCTAGATGGGCTACAATGTACAAAGGAAAAACATTTATAACCCAGGGGATAGAGAAGTATTTATCAAACAAGACACAAAAGGCAAAATACTTAAAAGAAAATATTGATAAATTCCACTACATCAAAATTAGCAACTTTTGTAGGAAAAAAAGTGTCCTAAACAAAATTAAGAGAAAAGCAACACATTAGAAGAGCGTGTTTGCAACACACGTAAACAGATAGAGGACGAACCCAAATTACATAAGAAATCAGTAAGAAAAGGCCAAAAGGGGCAAAGGGAAGAAAGAGCAACTCTTAGAGAAGGAAACAGAGATTCTCAGCCTCACCAGAGATCAGGAAATGCAAAGTCAACAACCGTCATCTGTCAGCTCAGCCGCCAGCCCAAGTGCGCTTACGTCAGTTTCAAGTTTTACTCAGAATCTGATACTCCGCCGTAAGAGTGCAAACTGTTTCTTGACATGGTAACATGTAGAAAGTTACATACATACACCACGACCCTGCCTCCAGGTGTCCCTCCTGGGAAAACTGCACGCTTGGGTGGGAGGGACTAGGTACAATCACTCACTGCAGTGTTGTTTGAAATCCCAACAAACTGGAAACAACCTAAATATTCATCAAGGTGGATGGAGGGGGTGGGAGAAATAATTAATTAATTGTAGTCACCAGTATGCTCGTAAATGTTTAACAACCTACTATCTGCCGGGGAAAGCCTGAATCTGCGGCATTTGCTGACTTCTGGGCTGTGAATAGTCCCATCATGGCAGACTTCTAGCTGCCATCGTGCCATCACTGAACACAGAGTCAGGAAGAGACACACGCAATCAGCTCCTGCAAAAAGGAACCTGGGGCAGGCTCCCACACACCACTGAGTGTTTTCTCCCAGCATTCAAGATCAACGAAGAAACCAGGTAGAGCTGAAAAAGTAAGGCTTAGGGAGGAAAAAAAGCAATTTGCAATATGGTGCAATCAACATGACAATGTTTGTATACATTTTAAAATTAAGTGAAATGATACAAGGCATGTATATGCATTAAAAGATAGAATGTGGATGAGAAAAAATGTAAATGTGGGAACAGTGTTTGCCTCTGGAGAGAGAAAGGGAAGGTTAGGACGAGGAAGGGATGGACAGGAACTTCAATATACCTCTGATTTCTATTTCTTAAATTAAAAGATCTGAAGCAAATATGTCAGAATCTTAATGTCGATTGCTTTTGAACCAATCTTCAAAAGGTTGGGGGGTTGTAATAATACACTATAGTCTCCATTTATTTGAACTATTTCATTAAAATAAATACAATACAAAAAAAAAAAGGTATGGTCATGATTGTGTGAAATCAAAACTCTGCCTTGAAAGACCCTGGCATGAGACACTCCAAAAGGTTTTTGGTAATAATGTTTGGATTTAGGACAAGAGCTTTTTTATTTTCCTTTATTTGCACATTTTACATCATAAGTGTTACTTTTTGGCAGAAAAATCAGTTAACTTGTGAGTTGGGGATGGATGATGGCTCTGGGTCCTTCTCTGCTGTCATCGCCGTTTGCTGGGCCTTAGCGCATCTCCGCCTCCTTAGACAGTCTCCATCCAGAAGCACAAGGACCCATGCGGGGGGTGGGCAGGCTGGGCTTTGTCTAACACTTCACTGGAGAAGAGATTCATCCTGGCACTGCTTCAGGAAGCCTCCCCAGGTGAAGCAGATGGTTGACAGTGATGAGAAGAACTAGGAGACCACCCTGGAACTCCCTGTGGGACCTCGGTGGTCACAGAGGGGAAAGGGGACAGAGTACTTGAACAATTAGTTACTTAAATTAGTTACATTAGTAACAGCTGGTATGGGTTGACTGGACAAGCTTTGGATTCACACAGACCTGCTAAATCTCAGCTCTGCCACTTACTAGCTGAGTAACTTGGGAAGTGACTTGGTACCTGTTTTTTTCACTTATAAAATGAATACTTTAGTAGACTGTGTTATTGTGCAAAATATCTGTGGCCCCTCCTTGGGAGAGAAGTGTACTTACATGCGCCATTGAGATCACAGGACCATGTGACCTATAGTGTCCCCCCCTGCCCTTTGTACTTGAGGGGTGGTTATGCAACTTACTTGGGCCACTGAAGCTCTAAGAGTGAGCTCATGCCCCCATCTCTCTTTTGCCTCTGCCATGACCCCAGCAACGCCCAAATTTAGGGCTGCTCCATCAGCCTGGCTCCCAGAGTAAAAATGACAAGGATCAGAGCTGCAGCCAACTTGTGATGGCCATCTGGCATGAGGGAGAAATCAATTCTGTAAGTCACTGCATTTTGAAGGGTCATCCATTGCTGTAATAAAACCTAGTCCATTCTGGCTGAGACAGAGTCCTCGTGTTTTGAGGATAGAATGAGATAACACATGTGAAGTGCTGAGCCGCCACCTGATATGCAGAGATGCAGCGTATAGGAGAGGTTTTGCTGCAGTAACAACCAACCTACAAATCTCAGTGACCAGATGCAGCATGTGTTTATTTCCAGTCACACTGCACTTCTAGTGGGGTCCCTGCTCCTTGTAGTCATTCAGGGACCATGGCTAATAGATGCTTTACTTTAACAGATGCTTTCTTTCAAGACCCAAAGTCATGGGTCGGGGGAGAATCTGGCAAGCCACACTCAGGCTCTTAAAGATCTGACTAAGAGACACCAGTCACTTCTTCACAATTCACTGCCCAAAGCAAGTCTTATGATTGTGCCTAATTTTTAAAGCGATGGGAAGTACAAATCTATCCCATGGGATAGGAGGATAGGCGAGAAGCCGGGTATGTGAGGTCAGCACTAAGACTTCCCTGTGGCCATTCAATGAATGACAGATGCTGCTTAGAGTAATCACTCATTGGGACAATTTAAGCTGATTCCAAATGAAGAAAATTGGATGCTGGAATAGCATGCTAGGCAGGGGACAAGCATGTGCAAATGTAGTCTTGCAGGGGCCTGTCTTGCTCAGAAAATTGCAGAGGTCCAGGTGCATAGAGGGAATTGGCTAGAGATGCAGTTTGGGGCCATATTGCTAAGACTTCAGAATTTCAATTTTAGCACCTGAAAGCTGGAAGCCTTGAAACATTTTAAGCAGGAAAGTGAATGGTCAGATTTCAGTCCATAGGAGAGAGGGGGAGCCCCTGAATGTCAGCGGGGTGGTGAGGCTGGCAAGAGGAGGGGGAGGATTTGAGAACTCTGAGAGCAAGTCAACAGGACTGGAAGATAGACAGGCTGTGAGGGCTTGAGCGTGAGGGGTCAAGGATGACTCCAGCTCACCCTGAGTGTGAAGGAGGAGGAGGGGCAGTCTCGGTTTCAGGAGAGCATGTCCAATGCAGTGTTGGAGGTGGTGAGTGGCTAAAGTCACAAACAACAGGAATACCTTGTTTGACGAGGTTGTGGAGCAACAGGAACTCTCTTAAACTATCTCTTTGGTAAACTCTGGTATCAGTTACTAAATCTCCAAGTACACACACCCCAACATCTGGCAATCCCCTGATGAGTGCATATGCCCAATGGAAGTAAGTCCACATGATGCTGAGACAGACCTTTATTCATAATAACCTCCAAATGAAAACAAGCTAAGTGCCCATCACTAGAAGTATTTGTACATTCCAGTGCATTGCAGTGTACTTGTACAACGGAATACTATACAACAGTGAAAATGAACCAACTATAGCTGCATATATGTAATGAGTGGACCACAGAAACACAACGCTGAGCAAAAGAAACTAGGTATAAAAACATTCATGCTCTATGATTCTATTTACAGAAAGCTCCCAACTAGCACAATTATGGTATGAGAAGGCAGGGTCACCGAAGCAGAGGGAAGGAGGGTGGGGTGACCCACAGGGAGGAAGCTGCCGAGAGGTCAGCTAAGGAAGGAGGCCTGCGGCTCATCCACTGGTTCCAGGCACAGGAAAGTCACTCTCAACACGGCTGAGACTGGAAGTGTCTTTTTTGGGAGGCATGGTGGGCTGGTGAGAAGAAGCCAGGTTGGCAGAGGGCTCCAGCAGTGAGTGGGGGATGGGGAAGAGGAGTTGGTGAATGTGGATCCTGTTGTGAAGAAGAGAGCACAGCACAGGGCTGGCAGCTGGCAGGGGACGTGAGGTCAGAACTGTTTTTTTAAACGTGGGAAAGATCTGATCAGGTTTTGCCAAGGGGAGCGCCAAAACTGATGCTGACCAATTTCGCCCTCTCAGAGAGGTCCTCTCCACTCCCTTCGTAAAATAGACTCTGCCTTCCGTCTCCATCCCTGCACCCACTTTCTCTTCTCACTCATCAGGACCTCCATGTCACATACTCACATCATCACGTTGATCTCACTCCACTAACAGGTCAACCCCACGGGAGTAGAGAGTTCCATCTGTTCTGTTCTCATTACCCATGTGCTGGATATGTGCCTGTACATAGTAGGTGCTCAGCCCACATTTGTCATGAATGAATGAAAGCACAGGGATGAGTCTATACAGAAAGAGAGGCAGGATTGGAAGCTCAGCCTTGTGCCAAGGGACAGGGGCCCAGGCAGATACAGAAAGAGGAAGCAGTGGATGGCATGAGATTGAGTGGGGTGGAGGGGGGAGAGAGCAGGAGGTTGAGGGAGGGGACTTGGTACTGATGTGGGTGCTTCAGGAGAATGGAGGGGACAGTGCAGAGGAGCCCTGAGGGAGTCAGAGGAGACTGCATGTGTGTGTGTGGGGGGGTCATGCAGAGGGGTCCAGCCTTGTGGTCCTGCGAGGTTGAAGGCCACCAACTCCAGGGTCCCCAGCCTGGCTTGGAGGCTGATGAAAGGGGTGGATCACTGTGTTTGGCCAGGGTAGGGCTAGTTTACTGTGATCCAGGGCATCCTGGAAGACAGGGTGGGTGTTCCAGCAGGATTGACAGTTGGGGAGAATGGGGTGAGGGGGGTCTCCACAAGATCTCAGAAGAGAGGCTCAGCATGATGATGCTAACATTCTAGAGCACCCTTGAGGCACGCCCCTGCTAAGGATGAACTGGCCACACCTTGTGATTATGTCCATCTAACAGGCAAGGTTGTGCTTGCCTGGGGCCCCTGCGCTGTCAGGACTCAAGCCCAGTCTGTCCATCTTCCAGCGTCTGATGCTGTAGCCATTCTGCTACAATGAGTGAGAGAGGCGAACAGGGAAATGGACAGAATGTGGGGTGCTGGGTTCTGGTGTGAGGTGCGGGGCACCTGAGCAGACCAAGATGGGTGAGAAAGGACGTGGATGTCAGCCTCCTTCACATCCTGAGGGTCCTTGCATTTACCTGGTCTTTGCACTGGACTTGCACACCTGTGCTGTGAGGTGGACCACTGTGAGAAAGCTGAGGCTGGGATAGGTTGGGGACCTTCCTGGCCACTGAGCAACCAGGTGGTGGCACAGACAGAGCCCCAGGCCCCTCCTGGGTCCTGCCCTTTTCATTACGACCTGCACGGTGCTGGGAGAGCACCTTGTGCTCCTTCTTAGGGGCCCATTCTGGGCATGTCTAAAGCCCAGCTCTGGCTCCAGGGACTTCCTCCCACCCACTAGCAAGAAACCTCAGGCAGCTTCCACCTTTCCCAGTCTTTCCCATAACCCCATCCTTCTGCCCCAGCCCCGATTGGACTCTCCTGCCTCCACTGCAGTTTGGGGAGCTGCCTGGAGCCCCCAGAAAACCAGTTGAGAGGAGGAGAGTGTCACAGAATTGCCGGACTAGGGGAGACCAGCTCCACCTCCCACCTGGGACTTGAACCCCCATCTCTTTAGCCGTGGTTACCCTTCCCTCTTTCCAAACGGGTTTTGCTGAGCATCTAGGAAGGCCTGCTGGGGGTGGTATGGGGGGGCGTGGCAGCAGTGGAAGTTGATCCATACCCACCCCAACACCTCTGAGGCCCCCACTGGGGTATGTGCTCCGTGCAGGGCACTCAGTTCATCAGGCAAGGGGTCAGCCTGGAGGAGATGGCAGCTCGCCAAAGAGGGAACAAATAGTTTTTGAATGCTTGCTCTGTGTGAGGCACTGTGTGGGTGGGGGTGGGGGGGCGGCGATAATGACTAAGGGAAGGGGGGTGCTTTTCTGCCTGGCAGGAGGAGGGACCCGCATCTTCCAGCCTGTTTTTTGGAGTGTACCCTGCACTGTTTCTAAATATCACAGGTGAGCATGAGGAGAGATCACGGAGTTCTGCTTGGAGGAGGCCAGCTACCTCCAGCTATCTCACCCACAGTTCTGCCTTGTTTGTAGGGTGCTGATACTCAAACCGGCCCCCCAGCTTCTTCCCACGGGTCCAGTTTCGCGCTCCAGAGGGCCCTGGGAACTCGTCTGATCCACCCTCTTCTACCAACGAAGGGGGCTCTTGTCCCTCCTTTTCTCTCCCCACCCGCCCCAGTGAAGTCTCCCATTCTCCAGATGCGCCACCTTCAGCTGCCGCGCCCCTCCCTTCCCTGTTCTTGTCGCTGCCCTCTGCCCAG